ATGGTCCGACTACACAAGAGGCGGTCATCCGAGGGCTCAAACCTCTACGGTTCCTTCGGCACCCCACGTAACACCTACTCTCCGATGCTCGGCTGTGTGTCACCAGAGGTCGACAGGGGGACCTCACCAGCAACGACGCGATCAGCATTTGACTTCTGCCACTATTGCCCTCTGCTCCATCCAGGAGCAGCCTGCCCTCCAGCCATGGCACCGTTTTTTTTTTCCCCCACTCGAATGCGCTGAGCATGACGGTGAGCCACTGGATCAGCGAGTGGCAAGAGGGTGGGAAAGTTAAAGAGCAGAAGCAGAAACAAGATGTACAAGACACAAGTGGCGGAGCCGGTGTGGCAGCTATTTTAGCCATTGTACTGGAGGTAACAGCATTTACTAATACCATTAACATCTACTTCTGAACACTACTTTTCCTTTAGAAACACATCACTTTTCTTGGGTCGTATACGTGTTCATGTACTTGTTTTGTACCATCTTTTCTACACGATAAAAAAGACGAAAAAAGAAAAGCATCACTTAATGAAATGCCTTTTAACAGCAGGCTTTACATCTGACCAAACAGCGTCCAGCCGCATCTAATCTATGCCTCTTTGATACAGCTTAACCACTTCAGCAACAATCAGATTAACCAACGTTGCATCTAGACACAAACAAATAAACAAGCAAAGCAGCGCACCAGGGCGGCAATCCACATTTGTCTTCAAGAAACACTCCTTAAGGCTTTAACGTCTCATTTGTGCGTAACACACAATGAGCAGAAATATGGCGCTGTGCTGGCGTCTTCCTGCGGTTCCCTGGAATGCAGGCCGACATATGCCAGCGCCCGAGCAAGCTGTTAAACATGCCTTCTTCGGGCCATTACGCATTGAAAATTCCTGTAATGTGCAGTAAAGACAAAAAAAATGATGAATGGCCCGAAGAGAACCTAACGCGCTGACCTTGGATCAGTTAGTCACGGGATCCTTTGGTAGTGTTTGAGCCTTATTGTTACTTTTCATCCCAAACTAATGGGAAGTATTGCTGGCACTGATGAGGCTTCGAAGTTCCGGAGCTCTTAAAGTGATCACCAATGTAACAAATATGACCGATATTCAAAAGCAAGAGTGAGAGAAAGTCTTTGTGGGTACTGTGCACTTGATGGCCATTGCTCAGTAAAGCACCCACACATCCATCACAAACAGACCCCTAGTGGAAGAGATCAATTCATAAAAAAAAACATCAACCTAATGACGGCATCTGTGCTTTCCCCGACAGTGATGAGTGGGCTTAAATCCTTCCATAAATCCAGACTGCAATTAAAACAAAGGCTGACAAAAAAAAAAAAAAAACTGGCGAGAGAGAGTCTGGCTCTCACAACGGGAGCAGGCAGCATGTGATCCCCTGTCTGCTGGTTGGTTGGTTTTTGAAGCAACAGGATTTGGTCGGGGGGGCCCATTGTGAGTCCTGGCTATAGGCGGCCAGGCCGGTCAGCCCGCACAGACCAGACCAGCTTCCTGATCCTCGTCACATGCATGTGGTGTGGAATCTGCTGGAAACGGGTGCACCGCGTGGTTTGGAGAAATGCATCCCTCCTAACACTCTGAAACTGAAGGCCTTTTTTCTCTCCCCTCTACTGTTCTCCAAATCATGACCAGTCAGCAAATCGGTAGCAAAGCACCGTGGGAACAGAGAGAAAAAACAAAAAGGGAACGGCAAGGCGACGGTGCCGGGCGCACCGGGGGAGAGCTGTCACAAACAGACTGAAAGCAGCCGCTACTGTTAAGTAACTTCCCAATCCTTAGGAAAGCCCCCAAACAGTGCTGTGTTATGGTAATGTCTTTACAGGCACAACCCGACCTAATGGCTGTAACTCTAGAGGGGCGTCTCCAAGCCCACGAGGCCAGGAGACATCCTAACCAGCTCCGCGATGACTGGATACGGCCCGCGGGCATGTCACAGGAAGCCGCTCCTCTGCCAATCATGACAGGTGTGTTATTGTTCAGCGGAGCACACATTGTGCTCACGACTTTATTTTTTGAAAGACGTATTTATCCGGCTCAATTACGCTTTGTCTGGTTAGCCATGCAGAAGGCACTGTTAGAAATAGATGAGAACATGTTTCTTGTTCAGGGGCCATGTCTGCTGATGGCAGAATGCAACCCATCTCTGAGAACCTGGCACCGTCATCAGCGTGGCTGCTGTATAGGTCTCCCTCTAGGAGTGCGCTGCTGGCAGGTGGGTGAGATGGGTGCATTTTTAACAGGGAAGATCATGCCTTTCATTTATCTGTAAAAAAAAAAAAAAAAAAAAAAAGTCTGTCTTCCTTTCTGTAATGTAACAAAAACAACAAAATTCCAACAAGGTGGGAATCGCTCACAATCAATATTGGTTGCAACCACATAATGAGGCCAGGCATGAATCCAAACTCAACTGGGAAACAGACGACTACTCATAGAAATGTTTGTTCGATGACGGGAGAAAACGAGCAGATTAATGGGGTTTATTTCTGCTTCCGTGCACAATAACTGCAAATCATTCACACATCACTACAGATGTCTTAATGACCAGAGAAGTCGGTTGAAAAAAAATGTTCCTCCCTGATTTGCCAACCTGACGGCTCGAGTCAAGCCAAACATTTATAGTGTTAAAAGGGGGAAAATATGTTAAATGTTATACCAGGCAAAGAACATGCTGGAGTCTTCTTAAAGCACTCCTGCGCCTACTTAGTTCAGCACGGCCTCATGGAAAACTAATCTTTCCCAGACATGAAACCCTGTGAAAACTAATGCCGTCTTATTGATTTTTAACGCTCCAGGAGAAAATAACTTTCTTTTGCTTGATCTGTTCAGATGGGAGCTATGAAGCCAGGGGGGGACAGAAATGCATGAGCACCGAGAATGAAACAATGGAAACTTAGATTTACACTCAAGAGCACCTCGTTGTTGTGTCTGCAGCCAGCCAACAGCATGAGGGCCCATTTGTTTCCCTTTATTGGGAAGTTAGTTATTGTGGAGGCTAAACTTCCTGCAGGAAGACAGCAAAAGGAGATGGCGCTGGGAAACTAACCAACATTTCACTTGTTTACTCTCCCAGCGGAGTATAAAGCACATTTGCATGTGGAATAGGCCACAGGAGCAGCCAGTAATGAAGCAACAATGAACATGCTGTGTACAAGCAGGCTGCCAGAGATTGTGAATGGAGAATCAAAACAACTCGGATGTTAAAGGGAAATTGTTCTTTGTCTGTAACTGACAAGCTCCCACTGCTGCAAAAAAGATACCCCAAATAGGAGACGTTATACAAACAGTTAAGATCAGCAGTGCCAGTGTGAGAGTTTTGTTTACCACTACTTAGATTATTCATAAAGAAAAAAAAAAATCCACTCTGGGTTCCCCACAACAATTAAACACCCCGCGCGGGACTGAGGGCCTCACCTTTATTATCCATAACCAGATGGACAATGATGCCTTTATCGCCCCCCACCGTTTACATGGAAGCACTCCACTGAGCAAATTCATTTAAAAACATATTTCTGTGCAAAGTCAGTCCAATAAGTCCCACACACACACATACCACCACCACCACCACCACTAGCATTAACAAAATGATGACGACAACATGTAACATAATGAACAGTAAAAAATGATTTTTAAAATGCCGGATGATATGATATAGTCTGCCTTCTGGGATATGAACGCAACAGTGCATGTATTTCGCATTGAGTTTGGTTTGTAGTGAGGCCACCATGCTCCTTGGTAAATAAACAAACAATGAGTCAGGTAGAAGTGAGTCAACAGCTCCATTAATGAACAGACACATGGGGTGTAGGTAGGCTACTGCTGAAACATAATTTCCTCCAGTTGTATTTATATCTGTAGCTCACGTTACATGCCTCGGTGCCTGAGAGTAACTTTACTCTTTGTGTATTCACCGTTACCGTCGACATGCCCGTGAGTTTCTCCGCCTTTCGCTACTCCGACTGTGTGTGCAGCGCGCCTCACTTTTAGCTACAGTCCTACTTTTTGTTACTTTGTTGGTCGGGTCTGCGGGACGACATCAGGCGTAACGTTACGTTCTCCTACCTTCACGTGAGAGCGGTGTCCCGTCCAGGCTGCAAGGTTTGTTAACGTGGCTAGTTATCCTTTAAAAGCTGAACCCAGTTGAAGCTGCGGTAGTCGGCCTCACACATCTCTCTCTTTCGGCGTCAGTCTCCAGACTGAAGCGGCTCAGAGCGCACGGCACCTATCTCCGTGATGACGACACGCAGCGAGGAGAAAGACTCCGCCCACCCGACGCCTGTAGGAACTCTCTGCGGCTCACTGTTGTCCACACGCAGACCTGTTGTGGGTTTGTTGGTCGATATTTAAGAGACACTAAAAGACTAGTGTGTCCACTACAGGCTAAAGACGAGCAATGAGCCTGTCATGTAAACTCAGTGCTATTCACCATTAGACTATTTCAGTCCCAAGTAGCCTAAGCCCTACAGTGGCACCGTCTGGTGACATGCAGAACAAATGCTCACTCAAACTGTATATGACTACAGTTTCATATTTTTTATTCCTTCAACCTATGCTTACAATGTCTATAATATTTCCTCTAGTTACCTGTAAGATATTATCCTCCAGTCCTGTTTTGTTTTTCTCTTTTTATTTTGGAAACATACTTCCTCAATTATCCTCAATTACCAGTATTTAAACCAGCAAAGCCCCCCAAAATATACCAAAACAATACCAAGCACAATTTAAATGAAAAAAAATAATAAATATTAATGTTATTTTATTCTGTTTTATTCTATTGTATATATTGAGCATCTTTCATACTTAATATTTTTATGTTTACTCTTTAACTTCGTTTGCTGCTGCTACAAACAAATTCCCCCCTGGGGATGAATAAAGTATCTATCTATCTATCTATCTATCTATCTATCTATCTAATAATCAGTGCTGTACGTAATGGACCCCTAAAACTACATCCCCCAGGTATCCCGGCCATTGCGTGACGCACAATGCTCGCGACAGCTGTTTGTTTCCATGGAGCCGATAGAAGCTAAAAGCTCGCTTTACGGATTAGCTAGCTAACAGCTATTTAGTTAGCCTGTCGTTGTTGTTTTTGTTGTCACGCGGCTTTCAGCATGTCAGGACCAAACAGCGACAATCTCGAGGCTTTGTTTTCATTTGAGCTTTTGGTGGAATGTATCCGAGTCGAGAAAGAAAGTCAAGTGTCCGACGAGCTGGCTCTTGGGGTACGACTGCTGGATTTTCCAACGCTGCTCATCTATCAGCCTCAGCCTCAGCCGAGCGGTGGTGGCTTTAACCAACACGGCCATGATGGGAAGGACCAGCAGGGAGAATACTCCTTTAACAGAGGGAAGTCTTGTTTCTTCACAATGAAGCTGAACTCACTGCATACCAATTTATCCAGCACCCCTCTCTATGTTATGGTGTTGGATGTGAAAGAGGAGATCCCCAAATTAGTCGGTACCTCACTCATCTCACTGGCAAAAGCGATGGACAGAATCAGTCAGGATGTGAGGGAACATGGAGTCTCTCGTCCCTCGTCTCATGGTGAAAGGGGGGTTGTTGGTATATGCAACCTCGCGGGGGAGAAAATTGGATCCATCTCCCTGAGTTACAAACTGCTGAGTCTAGGAGCTGGTTTACTACCACGTATCACAGAGACGGGTCTGAAAAGCACCAGTGTACATAGAGGAGAACATATACATCCTCCTGACTGTGGGAATGTCTGCTCAACCACACCGGACAAGTCTGACGTTAGCAGAAACATCCAAAACAACAAACCCTTGAATGAGAATACCGTAATAAATGAGGATAAACGGGACAGTGGTGTGTGTGTTGCCGTGCAGGCTGAACACAAAATAAGCAGCCCAATGCCTCAGAATCTCAAAGAAACGGAAAACAACTATGACGAAGATTTAACTATATTTTGTCCGCCTCACCTCTTCTACAATAGTTCTGCAGAGGAAAAAAACAAAAAGGAAGCAGGGGATTGCACGTTAGCGAATCTAGACTCGGATGCTTTTACATTTGAAGACACGTATTCAGAAGAAGAGTCAAGTGAAAATAAAATAGAAAATACAAGATCTCCAATGATGGACCGGAGAGTAAGACAAGAAAAAACTCCAAGAAACCCAGAAACAAGTGAGGAGACCCCAAATGTCCTCGGGGAGGCCTTGCGACAGTTGCCTCTGCTAAATGCTCTTGTTGTTGAGCTGTCCCAGTTGAATGGACAGAACCCACAGCAGCCCTTGTCTGTTCATCCCAACCTCTCTTGGATTTACAGGCCTGCTTCCACAGAGCCCTCTGCTGGGTATGGAAACACATCGCGAAGGGAGTTGTTGCAGAAAACTGGGCAGGGAACTAGTCCCCACTTTAAGCATGTGCATTCCCCCAGATACCGCTCTACACCAGTAGTTAGGCCTGCATCTGTAAAAGCCAAAGACAAACAACAGGAGGCTTTGGTCGAGAGTAAAAGCTCCAGTAAATCTCCCGGGAAGAAGCTTGTTTATGGTACAACTAAAACGTTCAATCTGAGGCTGAAGCAAATCTCTCCTCTTAAAGTAACACGTCGTGAATGCACAGCCTTAATACAGAATGAAACAGTGTCACGTATGGCCAAAGGGAAGACAAAGTCAAGTAATAAGACTGGGAAGTCCAGCAAAGGAAAATCAGAGAGCAGACCTCAAAATCAGAGCTCCAGTCTAAATGAAAATGTAGAGACAATGATGCAAAGCATCACAGTGGACTCTGTTCTGCAAGAAACTATCACACTAAAACCAAAAGCCCTGCGTGGGAGAGTTCATGGTAAACAAGACAGAGACCCCCCGAGAATTTCACAAACACCTTCCCTTTCTGAAAGAGACTCGCAATGCATTCACATCCCCAGTGTGGATGGTGATAATGTGGGCCAAAACAAAGACGAGACGGAGCATCACATTGAATCAAATCAAGTCAAGTCTCAGGCGGAAGCTGACGGGCGTAGGGAGAAAGTTGTGTCTCCAGGAAGCAGCGGACACAGCAGCCCCAAATCTTCATTTTCAGACTCCAGCGGGGAAGGAGACGAGGAGGCGGACTACGCCGATGACTTTAACAGCCTCGAGGCCAGTGATGCCTACTCCCCTGACCCCATGAGCAGCCCAGAGTCCTCTAGAGCCAAGACCACCCGCTCCCCTGTCCCCCTGGACTCTTGCAACTCTGACCGTTTCCAGAGGAGAGCGGTCCTCCCCGTGCCCGTCAAAGCCCCCAGCTCTCCACAGCGCGCTCTGAGGGGTACGCGCATCATCCGACCTCGAACCCACGCCTCGGCCCTCAGCTTCTCCTCCGAGGACGGCGACGGGGACGGGTCGGCCTCCTTGCAAACCATATGCTCCAGAAAAACAGTCGCGACGGACAGTAGTAGGGTGGAAAGGAGCTCCAGCACCGACGCTTTCATGTCGTCAAGAGGTCAAAGGTCAGCCAAGAACAACGGTCCCGTTGGAGGGTTTTCTGCAGAATCGGTGTCCTCCTTTGAACCGGTGGAGGTGGAGGAACTGGAGGATGAGCTCGGATCTCTGGATTTCAAAAAGGAGTATCGGCATATATCTGAGCTAGTGGCCAACAAACTCCCTGGTTACACGATGTAAAGAGAAAATATAGAACTCCACATTATGGTAACATCAAGGCTACACTATCTCCCCTAATCGAGTTAAACGGATGAGTAGTGTTGTAGTGTACAAATCCAGGAAATGTGTATGTGTGTAAGTTTTCCTTTCAGGTATGATAACTGTCAACTTTTGAATAAAGACGAGCTTTTCGTGGAAATAATGTGATCATTTTACGTCTTAATCCCTCAGTCACTCAGTCACTTAATCACTTTAGGCTACTGGACATTTGCATAAATTATTTTTAAGTCTTTTAGTGACATATATGAGGATGGAAAATGTCTCTGTGCACAACGTTTATGCAAAGCGTTTCACAGAATAAGCTCTTATTTCCAGTCAAGGTGTCACATGCTGAAACTCTCACAGAGCAGCTCCCGATAATGTCAAGGTTCCTGTAAATACCACAGTTTGCCTCTTTTCATTTCTCCCTTGGTACTATTTGATAAGCAAAACCGAGGTTGCACGTTTTGCATGACACCGTTGTGTTCAGGATTTCTGTATCAGTTTTGGGTTTCACTGGGACAACTGAACCTTCATTTGCACTGGTGGTGATTCATTATTAGTTGTAAGTGTATTTACTCAAGTACTGTAATTAAGTAGAACTCAAAGGCTTTTGTACTTTGTGTATCTACATTTTATGCTATTTTTAATTACACTCAACTACATTTGAGAAGGGACTACTGTGCTTTTTACTGTACTACATTTATTTGACAGCTATAATACTTTCAAACTAAGATTTTAATAATCTATAATAAGCATGTAGGCTACACAAACATATGTAACATAGTTCAAATTAGACTAGTTAGACGATTTTAAACTGCAATATGCATTAGTCATAGTCGTCCAAAATGATGAAAAACATTGATGAGGTCAATTCTGGATAATGAGTAGGCTACTTCTACTTTTGGAGTATTTGTACACCGCGGCATTGCTCATCTGAAGTAGGGCTCGTGTTTCCGGGTTTCCTATTAAATAACTAATTGTCTCCGGTTTTCAAAGTCCACTCTTTCTACCGACTTATTTGAAGGTTACACCTCGTTCAACTCGTGTGTCACTTTAAATTTATGCTGAATTTGGCTCGTTGAAAAAAATAAACAACTAAAGTGTGTCTGCTGCGCATGCGTCAACTCGATGTGTACGGAAGAGCTGTAGCGGCACGTCGAAACGGTGTGAAGTGAAATGTTCAAACACGTTTTTCTGACAGGACCTCCAGGTAACACTTAACACCGGTGTGTCGAAGTTACAGTCGCTGTGAATACAAAGCAGTCAGTCAGCTGTCTTCACCCAGTGTCCCAGTCAGTCAACGTTTACGTTGCTTGTGATAAAAGTTAGCTTGTTTTAGCTATTTTTGTCCACATAAACTCGCATTATACTGCTAACTCTTTATGCTAACCAGGTATTTAGGCTATTCCTTTAAGTACTTCCTTTCATTTAAAGAGACGTGTGTACAGTTACATTTTTAAATACTATTTTGACAGGCTTTTTTAATCAGTATGACTCAATACCTCCTATTCAAACATATATAAATGTAGTAGACTGAGAGCATTATTTAAGGAATAAGGATGCCAGCATCACTAATGCATGGATTAAACATATTCTACCATTTCACAGTAACCCTAATTCTAATTTGTGATATATTGCAGTTGTAACACAATGTCTCTTGTTTTGGCAAACAGGTGTGGGGAAAACTACTCTGGTCCAGAAAGCCTGTGATGCTTTAGTGTCATCGGGGGCGGCAGTAGAAGGGTTTTACACCGAGGAGGTGAGGGAGGGAGGCCGGAGAGTCGGCTTTGATGTCGTCACAGTGACTGGAGAGAGGGGCCACCTGTCCAGAGTCAGGTAGCAGGGTGGTCATCCTATCAAAACTACACTTGCTCTTTTTTTTCATTACTGTGCAGTTTTTTGAGTTACCTTCCCCTTGTTTTCTTTTATTTCGCACAGAGACGCCGCCGGTTCACCTTACGGCGGACGGGAATACACAGTTGGGCAGTATGTGGTCGACTTGCCTTCATTTGAAAACTTGGCTCTCCCCCTCTTCAGAAATGTAAGACAGCGGCACATGCTTTTTAAAGACACACACACACACACACACACACACACTTAACAACTCATCAAACCTTTGATTTCCCCAGAATTGATGGAATAATTGGAAGCTTGCGAACGCATAAATTCCAGAGTGACATTTTTAGTGTTGGTGGTGCCGTCTGGCTGTCACTGGCCGCGATTAATCCGGCATGTAAAGTGAGGCCTGGAGTGACGCCTACACATGTGCTGTAAAGGAACAAATTCCACTTTCATCTCACTTGAAGCGTCTCTGTAATCATCACTGCTGTTGCGTGCAGCATCCAAACGCTGTCTCAAGCATGCTATCAGTCGCAAGCATGAGACGTTAACGTGGTGAGCGTTTTTTTCCGCGTGTTCGCTTCAACAACACCAATGAAACTGACCAATAAATGTCTCAACGCAAACCTGGTTTCCTTTTATTCATAACTTGCGCCTGACATCAAGCACACACTTACGCACGCTTGTACTTCGTCCCCAGGTCGGGTCAGCAGGTGGGGGCGGCGGGAAGGTGTTCGTCGTTGACGAGATTGGCAAAATGGAGCTCTTCAGCCAGTCGTTCGTCAGGGCGGTGAGGCAGACTTTAGATAGCTCCTCCTGCACCATCCTGGGCACCATCCCCATCCCCAAGGGGAAACCACTGGGTCTCGTGGAAGAGGTGCGGAGCAGGAGAGATGTCAAGGTCTTCACTGTGAGTATAAACACATATTTAGGTCACTTCTGGGAGCTTTTGAGTTCAACTATAGCTACAGGACACCGTTTACACTGTATCCACTTGGTTTTAGGAGGGCAGTCGGCCTGCCCACTAATGCAGAAGGGGCATGCCCCGCATTATCCCTCTCCTATAGCAGGATTAGCTCTAAATCATGCGTGCCTGATTCGACAACAAAGGGTGGTCTCGGATGTCAAAATAATTTATCACGGAAGACTCAGTTATGGATATTGTCATGCAAAGTACTCACTGTGCTGGAGGAGTAGTTGTATGTGGCAGTGTAAACGTTGTTGGCAAACATATGATTTGTAATTTCGCTTTTAAAACCGTAGGCCAGAGATTAAGTGTTTATAACATGCGGTTGATAATCTCAAAGTGGACACTGTAATTGTCTGAGGCTTAGCTCCTCGAGGACTAGACATGTGTCACAGCTTCTTTTTTTTAATCTTTAGCATAGTTTCTATCATTTTATATGCTCTGCCGGCTACCTACTAACCACCTTTGATGACCTTTGCTTATTTCCTTTCCCACCTAGGTGTCGAAGGAAAACAGAAATGCCATTTTACAAGACATTCTAGCAACACTACAAACTTGTCTCAAGCATGGCCCCTAATAATGAGATTGAGAGCAGCAAAAGGCGAAAGACACTTCTGCATTTGTTTCATGCTGACGACAAGTTGCATGTGTGTCAGTGCATTACGCAGTGCACACAGCTCTGCATGAGGAGTTAGTGTGTCACATGCATGTATTTATGTACACAATTTTTTTTCCCATTCTCATACGGCCTCAAAATGGATTGCATGCTGAATAATTGATTGTTGAGATGGAACACATGGAGGGAATTGTTCAGTTAGTGTGCAAATATCTCGTGCTCTCCGAGTCAAAGACGGCTAATAACAGCTGTTTTATTTTGTATTCAGCCGTTGTTGGTGTTATAGAGACCCCACCTGGCATTTCTCCTATATTTGTGTGTAATAGTAATTAGTTCATGAGAACAAGTGGTGCTTTTCATTTTTCTTTTTTAATAAATGGGCAAACGAGACCTGTTTATTCATTTAGTTCTTCGCTATGTGAGCCCGACTTGTGTGTGTCTAGTCATCCTGAGGTTGTGCGCATTGAAAATCAATCAATATTTAACGGTGCAATTATGTCCAATCCTGTCATGGTTTATTCATCCACCAGCATGAATAAGAAAATAGGAAAATAAACAGATATTGTCTTTCTCTGGGATTCATTTCTGTCATCGAAATATGGAAACGGCTTATTTGTTCAGCAGCTACAAATGTTTTCATACAAATAAATATGCTTTTTTCAGGGCTTCTATGCTCCGCCCTGGGAGTTAATAGCATTTCTGTCCCGATCCCGAATAGCATTTCTGTCCCTACAGTAAGGGATACATAATATCAGTGAATACAGGATTTCTGAGATGTCAGCATTTATTAAGGATTTATTCCAGTAGTAAAGCTCTACAGAGGCCTCTGAAGGGTTTTACAGCTATAGAACCAGACACGCTGTCAAATTTGAAGAGAAGTGCAGCTCTCTGTGACTGTCGGCTGCGGAAATTATCCGGGAAAAAGAATATTGTGAATAAATGTAGGTTCGTTAGGAATAGGTGGAGTTTTAGAGACTTAAGCAGCTTAAGAGCATTCAAGGTTCATGGATAGTTCAGCTCCAAAGTCTGGCCGTTGAATAAAGGTTTTTCGAAATGTCCTCTCTGATAAAAGATATTTGTTTCGACACTACAGCATGTCCAGGTCATTTCAACGTGAAAATACATGGAAAGCTTTTTTTGGCTCTTTCTAAATACTGCTTGTGTAACTGATGTACCTGTCAGGCTGGCTGAAGAGAGGGCTGCCAGCTGTGATCTGCGTCAGACATGCTGCTGTGCCAGCATCTGTTCTGTGGCCACCGCTGACGTACCTCTGGATCGACTGGCACTGACAGTCGCAGAATTGACCTTCAAAGTCGACATCGCAAATGCTCGTGTGTCGTGCGTTTTTTTGGACCGGCGGGGAAATGCGGCGTCTCATTGTTACAGGAGCTGGCTGTCTCCATCGGTGCCCTGCAGCAGGGTAGCATGGTTATGTAACAGTGACACACACTTTGCCAATTTGACCAAGTAAAGGCTGTGTGTGTGTGTGTGTGATGTGTTATGATAAATATTATAGGCATATCATTGAGAGCAGTGATTTCCAGCCTGGGATATTTCTGCAGATGCCATGGAAAGATTTAGGAGTAGTAGTTTGAAAAACAAAAACATTTAGTTTCTTTCATTTTAATCTTGAGTCAGCAGTTGAAATAGCTAAAAGCAATGGATAAATAGTTGAAATATAGTTGAATGGGTGCTTAAGTTCATCCGACAGGGCTGAGAATATAATGTTGAGAACCACTAGTTTACATTGTTTTCATGTGTATGAAATGTAATCCATATCAAATAATTAAAATCTATCAAGAGGATTTGAAGACAACTTCAGAAGAGAAAGCCCTTCAGTGCTCCAAAAAACATCTGTATTTCATTACTACATTTTAGTGTAGCGTAGTCCAGACATAAGGGTATCATGTATAATATTTCACATTAAACACCAGCATAGGCTTGTTCATATGAAGCTATTGTGCAACTGTAACAATCACATAGGCTACACTGTCAGGGGACTTTGAACGTATTGACGCTGCGTTAGCCATATGGAATAGCTTGAGTGAATAAGAAAGTGAATTAATATCCGTATCGCGGAGATGCATTCGCACCGTATCTGTGGGACAGATGACACCCTTTATCCACGGAAACACAGAAATGCAAGGAGCTTACCAACAAACCAGGACAAAAGGGAGTTTGCTGGTGGGAGGGGGGGGGGGGGGGGTTTGGTGGGGTGGACGGAGTGGAGCGGGGGCTTAGATGAGGACATTTCTCTCCAGTTATTGCACTATGAGGTACCAGCCCAGGAGGCACAATGACAGCTGAGCACATTATGATGTATTGTCCGAGGAGCCTTCGGCCAAAATGCCAAACACAGCCGATGAAAATCTGACATATTGTTCAAAGACCATGTGGGAGATACACAAAAAAATATAGATCTGCCAAGGCTTTCCCAAAGCCGGACTTCAAATTCACAGATTATTTCCCAAGGTGAGCATGTGATTTATTGAAAGATGTGCGGAGCGAAAAGCTTCTTAGCGTTAGCTTCTTGCACATTAGCAATACTCCCTTAGATCGAGGTAATTTGTCAGCATGTGCTGGGTGTGCGAGTTCTCACAGTTTGTGCCACAAGTCTTTGCATGGCCCACAGGCGTTTGAAATGTATTCCCAGAAAGCTATAATTGAGCTTTAATTCACCTCATTGTACTAATGGGCATAACTAAGGTCCGCTGGTCTTGACAAATGGGCAGTTAATGTCAAATGTGATCCGAAGGCTGTAAAAATGAAGCCATTTGATCTGACTTCCTATAACCGCTATTCCATACTGAATCCTAAACCACTCTTCCCATGACATCACTTTCATGTGCTCACCGGGTGCTGCTGCAGGCAGACAGTGTTGGGTTTCGAGAGCCTGCATCTGGGCCACGAGCAAGTCCACCTTCTGAGATCAAAGCTCAAAGACGCACAAGAATGAAAGTAGGAAAAAAAGGAAAAGTCTTTTCATGATTTAAACAAATTTCTTCCTTTGCCTTTCAAGAAATAAAGAGTAGCATTTATGATTTCCCCAAAACACTGACACCAATCTATTTTGATGAAATAGGTCTGCTATGATACTAAAGAGCAATCATTAACATATTCCCTGTAGAAATCGGTCATGTGTAAAGAGTCATGCATCCTTCCAGAGGACCATTTTCCATCAACAGCAGGGGAGGGAGGGGTCGAGGCCCGAGGACATCCCTCTCCTGTTACACTGCCTTGATGGTTCCTTGTGATCTCCGGATCTCTTTGGATGACTGTGGTAACCCCCTGTGAGTCACACCTCACTTGGCTACATAATAAAACCTGGACTTTACTTCACCTCTGGGAGGAGATATCACGTGGGCGGTCATTAGGGGTTAGACAGTGGAAATGCAACAACCCAAGTGTGGAAGAAGTGCGTGGGTGTTGTATTTAGTGGTGCTCGTGTTCCACATAATCCCACACTTCAGAGAGGGAGCCTCTATAGTGTGGTGACACGCAAGCAGAGGGAGTGTGTCGCTGGCCTCGGCAGGGGAGGGTCGAAAACCCCCGCAGCTGTGAGGCAAGCAGTCAGGACCTGTCAGCGGTTGATATGGAGGTCAAAGGGCACGGAGCGGACGCAAAAAAAAACGGGGGCATGGTGATCAATCGATCGGCCGGTGCAGCGTCCCCTCGGGGCCGCAAAGGATGTGGCTGTCATTCCAAACTTGACAGAGAGGAAAAAACACACACAAAACTGTCTTTTATTGTGGAGGGACAAATCCAAATGCTTGTAGTCCATGCATAGCCTATCAAGAAAATAGGTGCCATATGTGCATGCAGCAACTATGCGAATTTGTCCACACTAATAACATACAGATCAATGCAGTGGCACATGGGCATGACTTATGTGGGGAGTTTTGTATATAAAGTGAACAAACTTTGGGTATATTTCACAGTTCTGTGAGAGGCTGAGTCATGATAATGATTCACAGATTGCTGACCTGCCATGATTAATGCCTCCGCAGGATGCTTTTGACAAATGTGCACCACAAACGCAGAGCTTTGTGGAGCTGTTTCCATTCCATACGCTACTGTAGCTGCTGCACGCATGTGTTTTATGCGCGTACGCGTGCCAAGACTGCGCTGGGACTCTTGGCAGTGCTCTACGAACCGAGAGTTGGAGCCAAGGTGGAGGTTGTGCCAAAACTTGGTTCTTCTTCTGTTGTTGTTGTGTTGTTTTTTTTTGAAGAACATTTGTGAAAGTGCTGCTCTCCAAAAGTGTGTTTATAAGTTGGCTGCTTGTTGATGGGAGAAAGGTGCACTTTTTTACGACGTCATGTAGCAGATCATGCATGGAGATCTGAAGGTGTGTTGCGTGCACATACATACTAAAGCTTCGACTACCAATGGTGCACATGCTTCAACTAGCATTGATCTGCTATCACTTTTTAAAGTTCAACCAACATTTCAAAAGCATTACTCTTGAAATAACACTTCAACTGCTTTCATCTTTCACCTCAACTGACAGTTCGACTACTTTCAGTGCTTAGGCTTACGTACAAACGGAAACTTGGCATTCAAATTTCCAAGTGCTTTCTGCGATTACACCTCAACTGATTTTGACTGCTTTTGGCTCTTACTCTTCAGAATACAGTTCAACTGCTTCAAGTGCTTTAACTTCAACAGCGACTCCCAAACAACAACTTATGACATTCCAACTTACTTAGCATTTGCACCTTCAATTTTCATTTTCTTCAGAGCCTTTTCTAGTTCTTCATGTACTCCAAATCCTCCAAGAATGTTTTTTAAAATTAGTGAACAAGTGAGCCATTCCCCTCTCTGCTGTAACTAATCCGTCCCTCAGACATCTCGAAGGAAATCGCTGAATATTTTGTAATGCTGAACAATATTATTTTGCAAACCCCGTTATGCATATGACTCATTATGCAGCCATAATGTCTGCAGAGGATGTCTGGTTCATCAGCATAAATGCTGTTGATTATGGATTTGTTTGAATCATGTCTTTTTAATATGCAAAAAGAAGGCCAATGATGTGAAGATGTTCTTAGCCTGGCCTGGCCTTTAATCTCGCTCTTCATCTAATCTCCTTTCTTCAAAGCCTCCAGAGACGAGAACAAAGCCTCAATAACAGACATTTTCACCACCAACTCTATTAAAAATAGATATCTTCGTTGAATAATCACAGCCGAATCAAATCATTTGGTTTTTAATGTTTTATTATGAATAGTCTTTACTACATTTTGTATTAAAAAAAAAGGTGTTAATATCAAACAAGCTCAAGCAGTATCAAACTGCTTATTTTATTATAAGGAAGAAAATGTGTTGGTGCACCACACGCTGTACATATTGTCAATGCTTGGCCATAACTGAGTCAGCTTCTAAACTGATTCTCTACTGAGCAGGTCGGCTTCTCTATACAGAAACCGTTCACTCAATAACTCAACAATCCAAAAACTATCAAAGGAAATATGAAATACGACCGGCAACAAAAAGTGTTTTTAAAAGAATCACACTGGAAACTACACGGTGCACACTCACACAGTATTGTTCCTTTCACAAGAAAAATGACAAAGAACAATAGAAACACTCAGAAGGACTGAAAGTGATTTATATGAAACACATCAAAAAATAAAACCGTGGTAGCTCTTCAGATCATAAATACAGTCAGTAGTAGCGTTTTTTTTTTTTTTGCTTTTCAACAAATATGTGCACTGCACATTAGAAACTATTTGTAAAACCCCTTTATTAGTAAAAACATTTTTTTTTAAACTCAGATGTCCCTTTTCCCGAAGAACTTTTTGAAGACGGACTTGGTGCGTGGCCTCGGCAGGCTGGTGTAGCTCCTCAGAGCAGAATCCTGACAGGTGTCCTGCTGCCATCCAGCAGCGGCCAGCAGCGGAGGCCCAGAGCTCCTCCCGCCTGATGACTTGTCTCCAACCACAAGAGTCACGCAGTAGTTGGAGCCTCTTTCCGGGCCTCCGCCTCCCGGTGTGCGCAACATGGGTTTGATCCTCTGAAACGTCGCTGAGGGAAAACAGTGGAGAGGCCAACTAAAAAACATCTGTTTATGATTCCTCAGACACATTATGTATCATTTAGTTTAATAACCGCAAAACTCACCTGACGTGAAGGAGTGGGAGCGACGCTTGTGGCCGAGCCAGTCCTCGCTGCTGGAGATAGGGGAGTAAGGGGAGGAGGAGGTGTTGTCTCTGGACGCTCCAGACAGCCTGTGAGTCACTGTCTGCTTCAGACTGTCTTCATCATCATCAACATCATCATCTAGCGAGAGACAAAAGATTATCAAAAGCAGAGATTAAGAACAGAAGAGACCAAGGGGCAAAAAGTGAAACATTTACTGATGTAACAGATGTGAGCTCCTGTGATACTCCAGTTGTTTAATATGTGGTAAGACAATACCATAGCTCCCCCTAGTGGAACATGCTATACCTGCAACAGCCATTCACCATTTGCTCCCATGGCTGGTGGGCACTTATGATAGACTGAAACACTACAGAGCTAAATGAAATCCTGAATTCCCTTTTTCAACAGTTACCTCCAGAGTGAAAGAGCAAACAGAGTGCATCCTCTGACCACCAGTGGCTCGGTGGGGGCTAGTCACTGGCCAACAATATAGGGTGGGGTTTGTATTGCCACGTGTGAATGTGGAGCTGGTGCAACACAGCAGACGGGCCTTACCACAGCGGCCTGCATCTGAGGAGGAGACGGTCGACCGCTCATCCACACTCCGCAAATGACTCCGCGGCATGTGACTGAACTCTCTGGTGAGGACAAATGTCTCTTTGGTTTGGGCGACGCCCGGCGGTTTGGGCCTGGGGAACGTGGAGGTGACCTCGCGGCGGGGGGTGCAGTGGCATTTGGCGAGGCCGTGACATCCGGAGCAGAGGAAGGGCTTTCTGGGAGGTGGGGGAGGAGAAACGTTTCGTTTTAATGACAAAACATCGCTGTAAAGATTGGAAGCAACCTTTCAAATCGAGAGGAACCGTCACATCTTACAGGGAAATGGGGAGGTCTTGATCAGCGGGGACACTCGAAGACGCAGACTCACTCAGGCCTTTTAAGACATTAAAAAACCAAATCAATCGCATCATTGTGATCAGTTCAGAATTAGTAAACACTAGCTCTGACATACAATGTTTACCTGTGTTTGCTTGTATTTTCATCATCCATTTCTTCAGCATGAAGCGTGAGGAGGCATTGAGCAGGTATTCGGATCCGTCGCGGAGCCTGAGGGCCAAGAAAAGACCACCAGTTACATCCTCAGCCAGAGCGGTCGAACACAGACAGCTGTCTGCATCATCTGCACAACATCATCATTATGATTTAGTGGTGATTGAAGTCGTACCGTAGTCTACAGCAGTTGGGTTTTTTGGTGTACTCTGGTGCAGGTGAACACTCGGCTCCCATGAGGTTCAGCGGCAGGCCGCATGCTGAGCTCTGCAGCGTAACACAGATTAATCACTGTTGACTTCATACTCTCCAATTCAATTATTTATCATCTCCGTTCTCTAGGGCTATTGCTATTATTGTTGTAGGTTTTTTTTCTGCTTACCCTTAGTGTATCCTTTCTGTCCTGGTAGAAGCACAAGGTGTGTCCGTATAGGACGGCATGGTAGGAGCTCCAGCCTCTGGAGGCGGCCTGTGAAAATAAGATAAGAGGGTGTGCTGTTGCTGACTGCGGGCTTTACATTTGCTGACCGTGCGCTGGCTTACACAGAGAGCGGAGCCTTTCTTACTTTCTTTCCTCCCAGCTGCAGCTTGTGCTTCCTCTCCAGCGTCCCCTCTATAGACTGCAGCTCTGGCTTTCCACTCTGAGGGTTAACACCAACGTTAAGACAAAAAATAAAAACTTCTCTCTAAAGAGCTTAGCACAAAAAGAGCTTAGCACATTGCAGTCACTCTTACCAGGTTGATACAGCGACCTCCTGTGGCCATTGAGTCTTCCTGCTTCTCCGCGTTGTCCAGGCTTTGCGAGGCTTTTCTTTGCCGACAGACGCCATCCAAACCCATGTGAACTGACAGTAGACTCATTGATTGGTCCTGTTCAGAAAGAGAAGATCACACGGTCATCCCTGAGGATGAAATAGGAGTTGCTCATGCTTCAATATCAACACCAGAACAGGGATAAATGCTACGGTCCAACTACAGATTCAGGGCAATAATACCACAGTGTCTACTACTGATTTTATAGGTTTTTCACTGCTGTGAGCACAACAAACAACATTCTGATCCCTTCCATCATACTTGTAAAGACATATCTCAAAAACCTGAGCAAATGTAACCAAACATGACCCCCATGCCTTCATGCCAGCAGGAATATGTTTTAATTTTATAATTTGTGTAAACTGATCCAGTCTCAAAGGTTTCAACATCACAGTATCTCAAACGCTGACCTCACCTTCAAAGAACCTGCATGCTCCTCCACCTCCTCCCCCACCTTTGCCTCCTCCTCCTCCTCTCTGTATTGATAGATATATCTCTGATTGTCCCCCACATCTGGCAGCTTCACTGGATCAGATGCCGTCTCGTTCACAGCCACTGAGGTCTTGCCGGCTGGTTCCCTGTTAGGAAAGGCCGCCCAGGACCTCCTGTCTCCGGTGGCCCCTTTGGGGCTCTGCTCCTTGTCGTAACCCAGCAAGCCCTGAAGGTAGGGGGGCAGTTTAAACTCTGCCACGAGGAGGTTGGGTGCTGAGGCTGTGACCAGGTTCCTGTAGAGCACAGCCGGGGTCTTGGGCGAAGGTGAGCGGGAGAGGGGCTCCCTGGATTGGTCCGAGGGTCCGTGGTTGGGCTGGTACATGATGTCTGAGCAGATGCTCTGTCTGTAGTTTGTAGTCCGGTTCCAGATGTCCTCCAGTTCTTCCTCTTCCTCCTCGAACTGCTGGCGGTCGAGGTGGACGGGCTCTGTTTCTAGGTCTGCTGATGGAGCCGCTGATGTTAAAGGGTTCCCCTTCGGTTTAGCGCAGTCTAGACCCCCCACCTCAAAGGACACGAGTCTCCCCACCACGCCCTTGGGCTGCGGGATATCTGGACACGGGGCCTCGGTGCAAAGCTTGATGCTGCTGGAGGTGGAGATTCCAGAGTCCACCGAGTCCTGGCGAACACTCACCGTCGACTTCAGATTCACAACCATATGAGAAGCTCGGCTCAGACACTGCAGTCTAGGACTCTCTTCACGCACGACCTGGGGTCTTGCATGTTTATGATACTGGTGTCCATTTAGGTCTCGGATGAGCGTGTGGACACTAGGGCATTCGTGTTTATGTGCAGCTGCATTTTGGGCTTGGTTCACATAAATAGGGAAATGGGAATGCTGGCTGGTGGCATCTCTTTCAGCTGGACTGGTTCTAACCTCTGACGACATTTTGTCCCACTCCTGTTCTGCGTACCTGTGCAGGCCGGGCTGGGTTTTACACAGGCCGTTACACGGCACAGTCTGATCCTCATCTCCTCCCGGGGAGAGAGGAGGTTGTGGTTGGGAAATCTTTTCCACATCAGGCAGATCTTTCACCGCAGCCGTCGCGGTCTGCGATTCAGGAAAACTGAGCTCTGCTGAGCTGTGTGTGGCGGCAGGAGTGGGTCGAGTCTGTTTGAAGGAGCTCAGGGCCGTGTGTCTCTGGGAGTGGGGGTCCGGATCAGTCCCCGCTCCTTTTTTGGACTCCGGCGGGGCGATGGTGATGATGTCCTGAATGCTGGGGATGAGGGTCATGTCCTTTGGTAGGTCGAAGCTCAGCACAGAGCCCAAAGAGAGGAATCTGCAGTGGCCTCTCGCGTGATTTGTGGTCGTTTCCTCCGAGACAGCATACGGAATGATGCTGTACACTCCGGCACATTCTGTGTCAATGTCCTTCAGCAGGGGATTCTTCATATAGGCCATAGCCTCGACCCCATCCCCACTCTTCTGTGAACTCTTCTTTCTTCTGCCCTCCTTCAGCGGCCACGTGTGCGTGTCATACGTGATCATCTCGCAGTCATAATGGGGCGTCCCTTCCGTATGCTCCTCCACTCCCATGATTTTTTGAATGGTGTGTCTGCGAGCGTCTCTCTTCCTCTTCCTCTTCTTGCCCATTCTCTTGAGGCTGCTGAAGATGGAGCTGCTGCCGCTCCCTGCCGAAGGGCGGAAGGTTACGCTGGCCATCTGAGGCGCAGGCGCCGTGGAAGGTGGCAAGGAGGAGGCCAGCGAGAAAGTAGGAGAGGCTGAGGCTGCAGAGCGGCTCTTTTGGCGGGGCAAGGTGATGCTCTCGTACACGGGGACCACAGCCAGGTTGCTGTCCTTGACATGCAAGTAGGTACTTACCTAGAAGAAAAGAAAAGGATATTAGGGGAGCTCTCGTGTCGTTGAGACTGTAAATGCTTCATCGCAAATAGTTAACCCCAGAGAGACTCATGCGTGGAGCCCTGCAGCCCTCCGCTAGAACAAGAGCTGTTTTATGTGTTACAGATGAATGACAACAGCGAACCTGACTGAGACCATTAGCTACTTTTTGGAGACATTCCTCCACGTCCCACACATCCAAGAAGACCATGGATTCAGGAATGTACAAGCCTCACACAGCAATGCAAATGTATAATTTATATATATTTAAAAAACACGAAAGACATGAAAATTAGATGAGAGCACAAAAGAACAATTGCAATCGCACACTTGCGAGACTTAATCAAAGTCATATGTGGCTGCACATGCCGTCATATGCAGCTGTAATGGCTTGACCTTTCAACTCACATAAGTGACTAATCTCTTGTTTCTGTGGAAGCTCCAGACTATAAATCACGGTGTGCAGTCTGGGGGCCTTTCTTGAAAAGTTCAGCACCAGTTCTTTGTCGAATACTGCCTGTATTGACGTCTGGGACGCAATCCGGCCCAATTTGGAGCACAACTTTGATAGGAAGTGAAGGTGAGGTCACTTATTTTACACAACCGGAGGCACAGCGGCGGGAAGCCGAACAAGACCAGATCTGCATCAAGCTCGCAGTGAAATGACAGAAGGAGAAGAGAAGGGTTTCTGTCAACACTCACAGTGGAGAGGAGACGTGCTTTTCTTACTCATCACCCTCATTCTGTATCTGCCATCACTGCTCTCCAGCTTTAAAGCCTGGCTCATTCAACGAGCTGAGCTCCAAAGAAAAGTTTTGATGACGGAGGAAAGTTCTGATTCATTCTCTGATTTTCAGTTGGGAATTGAACCATTAATCCGAGTTTACACAAGACAAGCTGACAGGGCAAAGTGACTGCTGACAGATGAGGTGGATTCACATCCACATTCTAAAAGATACACATTTGTTTTCAAAGCTTACTTAGATAAATCCTTGTTTTTAAGGCTGGCATGTATGACTCTTTTAAATCCAGTTTCTTATGCCACTTTTATTTACAGAAAAGTGATGAATACCTTTTTTTTTAATACACTTTAACAAGAACTTACATAACTATTTGGGCTGGCATGAAACTATGTATTTGGTTTTGGTTAATTGTACGTATTATAGTAACTTGTGAAAACACACAGTTACATAGAGGCAATACATTTCTTCTAAAAACAGAACAGACTTTTGTTCATTAATTGGAGATCATATTATAGTATTACTACACTTCTGTCATTACGTCTGTATTTTCACAAATGGATTGTAAAATCACTTTTCCCATCCCATTGGAATGTGCTTCATTAAAAACAGAATTTATTTGGTTTTGGATTTGCATTTATGACTGCAGTTAAGTAGGAAATTATGACTTTTGACAGTGAAATGGTTTGTTATCTTTTCTCACTTCTCTCACATTTACTGTATATTTTCCAACCGCGGTGACTCTCGGAGACGGTGTGAGTGCAAATATGATAGCACTCTGGCATGACTCGTTTCCCTTCACGCTCACGCCTGGCTTGCAGGCGAGCAAACAGCCCAGTGAAGCCGAGGACCGGTTGTACATTGTAACGAGGGTTAGTGGAACATGCTGCACCCCAGAAAACAACTGCACACAGCATGCAGTCCCAGCACACCTTGAGAGGCAGCATGCAGCGCCAGTTCACACCACGCAATTTACCTCATTTGCACTCTGCCGATAAATCTTTCTCTTTCTCTTTAAACTACCAAAAGTATTTTCCAAAAGCCCCTGGCAGCGCCTCCAAAAGCTTTTAGTGGCAGAAGATTGAGGCACAGTGGGCTGAGGGAGAAAATGGAGGGAAAAGTAACACATGAAGGCCAAAGGAGAGGGAGGAGTGAACAGCAGCAGATAGCCAAAGGAGGGAGATCCCATGCAGTGTCATTACAGAGAATTGGTGTTACTGCATTGGCCTTTTGGAAACAGCGACAAATATCATTTCCTTCAGTACTTTCGAGGGAGAAATATATGTCGTCAACGACAGTGGTGTTTGGTGACTTTCAGTGTGAAGTAATGAGTGTGTTTCTCACCCTGTGGACGGGTTCAGAGCTCTCCTCCATTACCTCGTTCGTCCTGGCAGGTGGGTCAAGCACCTGAACCTGGCTGTCCCCCTGTCCCCCAAAACTCAGGATGAGGTTGACCGTGCCCCCTAAAGAAGGGCTGCCTGGCTCTTTGAGGACCACAATGGAGGATTTGGGAGACTTTGAGGAGGGGGCCTCGCCATCCTGCGGTCCGATACTGTTCATCACCTCATACCCATCCTCGAACTGCTTGTCCTCCTGCTGCTCGGCTTGTCTGCACGGCAGCGATGAGGATCGGCCGTCTGCTGCTGCCTTTAATTCGTCGTCATTGGCGGTGACGAATGGGGACGGATGGGACTGGTGGGCCTCTAGCTCAGGGGCTAAACTCTATGTAGGAAGCCATGGAAAGATAAGTTGACAAGTATTCAAACTGATGAATAAGTACTGAATATATACTACTCATATTTTCAATAGCAGGAAACACATGTTAATGCCCTATTAATATTTCAGTCCCTGATTGTTAGGATGTTGTGACTTATTATGATGATTATTTAGATTATCATGATTTATCGTTTCATTACGTTTTTTATGATCTGTGGATGCCAAAAACTTCAGTACTACTTCCGGCTCTAATATAAGTTGTTTACACAACGGGTAAAAAATGACGTTGTACAAAAAAGATTTGATTCTCAAGGGCTTTATTTTTTTGTTCCTACAATAAATGCCTCTCTGCTTTTTTACCTCTGTCAATGGAGTGCACGCTGTGGCCTCAGAATAAATGTTATCTTGTGAAGGCTCCTGTCTACTCTTCTTGTGAAGCCACTGTTGTTTCTGAGCCCTCCAGTGCACCGAGATCCACCCAAGCATACTCCTCAGTTCCTCCATGCGCTCTCTTACCTGCAAACACATTACTCAGGGTTTGTAAAAAACAAAAATAAAGAAAAAACCAACAATATATTCAAGGGTTTCGCAGTGAGTCATCAGTCGCGCTCACCATCTGTGTGAGGTGGTGTTCTTTGTCTAACAAATTCCTCCCCGTCTCTGCCAGCTCATCAAACTCCTCAAACTTTAGCTCGATCTGCATGTCCAGCTCGGCAGCGAGCGGCCTCTGGCCCTCCCTCCCAAGATGCAAGGCGGTGTCTGAGAAAATGCACGACCGGGTGTCTTCTGTCCATGAGCTGTTCAGAGGAGAGGGGGGAGGGGTGGCGGAGAAGACAAGGAACAGGGCTGTGAGAAAAGCCATACATTCGGAAAAAAGACAAAAAAAACGTGAGAATGACCAGACTCTCCCTGATAGAACAGACATTCATCGCCTTGTCACACTCGGCCCAGGAAACGCGTGCTGACCCCCTCCGCACGTCTTAAATTATACACCAGGGAATGACAACGAGAACATCCTGTTCTTCCCATTGAAAATACATCGTAATAGGCAGATGTTCTCGCAAAGATCATTGCGAAAGAAGTCTGGCAGAAAGGGGTCATGACGTCCCCGCGCCCTGCTTACATCATGGCGAGGTAGCTCCTGAAGAAGTCCTGGAGCTGCACAAACTCTCGCAGATGTGACCTGTTCTCCGTCGCGCTCTTCCCCAGCTCTGTCCAGCCCTCCAGCATGGCCTGGATCTTTGCACCGAGCATGTGCACTCTCACTGGGCACAGCTCCTCCAAGCGAGACGTCTGGTTCTCCATCTCCTTTACCTCCTCCCTGATGACCTCATAGTCAATCTGTGGAGAATCACAACAAAGATCTATCATCTCCCATCATCCTCTGTATCACTCAAACAGCCTGTACCAATTTCATCTCTGTATGACTATGACCTCACCCCCATAGCATTATGCATATCATTCGGCTACGGACCCATATGGTCTGCATATGGGCTGCCACGCTGTAGCAAGCTAGCGATCTTGACCACTTTTTTTCCTCCTCTTGACGAGGCGGTAATTAATAGCGCTGAGGGTTCTCTGGGAGTAACGCTTCATAACGTTTCTCGGCTACAGCGGGCCTCGAGAACACCGAGTTGTGGATGCCTGTCTGCTGACGGCACAGTTATTTCAGTTCGGGGGGATGAGGTCATCTCTGCTCTTCAATGGTATCGAGTCCAGACAGCTGTGCGTGCGTGTGATAAACATAAGACTGCCCAAAAAATGACTCACGCAGGACTTTACCAACATCACGTCTCCAACCCCTGTGACCCCCCAGAGGCAGAGAACACGCTGCGCCAGAATTACTCACAAACGCACACGCAGAGAGCGAGCAGAACAATGATTCACACAAGCCGTAAATAAATATCCCGTTTCAATAATAAACTTTTGCACGCTCTGTGTGTGTGTGATTGCATGGTGCAGTTTACATATTAAAATCAAACACGGCACAAAGCGGGGTGGGCTGGCTTTTTTTTTTTTCTTTACATGTGAGAAAATCTGGCACAACAGGAAACAGGCTGTGGAACAATGTTTTAAAGACTAGTGCGAGAAAGAGAGAGAGGGGGGGGGGGCCTTCCCCTTTTTCACTACAGAGAGCAAAGATCAATAATGTTTACGCCGTCCTCCTCTCACCTCCAGGTGGTCCTGCTTCTCCTGCAGAGCCTCGAGGCCGCAGCGGTCTGGCTCACACTGGACGGCCATGTCTGTTTCCTTCTCCAGGATGTCCAGGCCCAGCTCCTTGCTGCGGCAGAGGCACTTCTCCACGTGCACCACCAGGCTGGCGTGCTGGCGAGGCGCAAAGTCATCATGAGCACTCGTAGGATGTCATTAAGTCATTATGCCTTGCTGTGTGTTATTTGTTTTCCAACGAGAGCCACATTGCAAGTTAGTGTTTTCAAATGGAGTCATGGAGTCCCTTCCGGGTGTGTGTGTGTGTGTGTGTGTGTGTGTGTGTGTGTGTGTGTGCTATTTTGACAATTGTTCTGCTTTCTTACCAACAATAAATCGAATTAACGCGAAAACACTCATGCGAGGGGGAGTGGTGGCTCGTTTGGGGCCTATTAAAGTACGTAGCCACAGACAAAAGGAAACCAGATGTGGCTCTATTGGTTTGTGCAGCTGTTTGTGACAGAAGTGGAGGGACTTAAAAAAACGAAATCTAAGATCATAACAACTAAACAAATATTGCGGCAACCATCGGATCTAATGAACTAGAACTAGAGCTCTCAATAGTTTGACGTAACCTGTCTCCCGTCTCCGTACCTTGCTCAGCAGCTCATGGATGGCCTGGTCGTGGCTCTGCGACCGGCCTCTTTCCCTAACGGTGTCATTCAGCATCTCCACGGCCTCTCGTAGTTCCTCCACAGGGTCCCCCATGCTTTCTATCAGGGGCTCCCCACCGCCACTGCTTTGGAGTCCCAGCAATGTAGGAGCTGAGGAAATCTCACTGTGAAGAAGCTGTTAGTTGCAGAGCGAGAGAGAGAGCGTTGTTTTCAGTCGGGTCCAAAATCATTAAAAACGATCTGCAACATTTTTTCACAGGTGGTATCTAGCCACACAGGGAGTTTGTGTTTGTGTTTTTAGATATTCATCACTCCTAATTTCCATTCCCCATGATTGTATTGGGTTGGTGGCAGCTCACATACGAAATATCTCAAAACCAAACCACAAGGTCAAGAGAGTTTTAATTTAGGTGAAATGACCCTTTAAATGCCACTCTGCTGTCTCACCTGGCCCAGACTGTACTGACTGCCGCTGAGCTCCTGGCTCTCCTCCAGCTCCACGCGCTGCAGGAACTCTGTCAGCATTCGTGTGTCCTGCAGCTCTGAGTTCTGCTGGGTCAGGGCACTTTGGACACGATGGTACCTGGGAGACACACACACACACACACATCCAGCAGGAATGTATTAGTGACCGGCCACACCTCAACTTTAATCCGCATATGTACAGAACAAACCTGCATCCTTCAGCAGAACCACATTACAGAGGCCGCAAGCAAGCGTGCTGTTTATATAATCATATATCATGTGTCACATAAACATTTCCTGTACTTCAGAGCATGAAGGTGCATTGTCCGTGCAGAGTTTATGTTTGAGATGGTAAAAGGAGGAATTTCAAAGGTATTTTTTCGAGGATAAATGAGCCGTAAGTTGCTTGTATGCTGTGTTAAATAATGACATCATCCCAAGTGCCTCACAGCTGCTCAGTGGGAGCCTCCACCTGCATCAGTGGTTCCTCAGACTGCACCAGTGTCCATCCCTTCCCATATAACACCCCCACCTATGGAAACATTTAAACTGGGCCCATTGCCTTTCTTTATTTTCTTTGGTCAACTTGGTGTTCTTTACAGAGTCTGAACTTGTGTTTATGGACACAGGTAGGTACGTCCAGTGAACCAGCCGACTTCATGGGCAAACACCTGTCTTTTGAGGGCCAACTAGGGAGCGAGAGGCATCCTCTTGCAAACATGGAGCAGGTGACTCTGACACACACTGACAAGCTGTGGGTGAAGTGCACGTCAGGACTGTGGTGGGGTAGACCTCGCTAAGTGCTGCATGAATCACGAATGAATAAACTCGAGCCTGGCAAAGAATGAGCGCATGGAGAGTATTTCGTTTCTGCCAATTTGGACAAAAAAAGGCAGCATAGAAGTTCTTTTTGTGGTTTATGGTTGTTTATCTTAAATAAGAAATGGGGATTTTATGAATAACCTCTTCCATGTTGGATTGCAGACATGGCAAGCCCAAACCTGCGACCTCTTGGAAATGCTGACAAAATTCCCTCTTCATTTCCTGACCACAGTGTCGAGCGAAACCACCAGAGTGTGATTGTTCGGATCTATAACGTGAGTCTTCCGCGATGACAGACATCAGGGAGCACCCTCCTCCTCTGACAAACTCACTTTCTTTCCACCTCCTCCATGCGCGCTGGCAGGCCTCCCGTGTGTGGGTGACTGTGGCTGTGGAGATGCTCCACCTCCCGCCTCAGAGCGCTGAGCTCCGGGCCGCGGGCTGCCACCTCTTTCTCCAGCAGACAGCTCTCCCTCTCGGCCATGCTCATTGTCTCGGGGTCACCGGCGAGCGCAGATTCCTTCATGGAAAGCTCCACGGACTCCAGCCAGGCCTCCAGACTGCCCAGGGCCTGGAGCACTTTTACAACCTGCACAGTACAGAAGCAGAGAGGCTAATGAGGAAGAAGTCTTGCTGCAGTCATTTCCAAGAGATTTTGGTGCACTGCCAAAACAACCAGAGGTGATGTACTGCACAAAGAAAACAATAATACTAGGTTTTCCTAATGGAAGCAGACCATGCTCTGAACTACATCTTTTGTAATAAAAGACTCACGCTTTCCAACTAAGTCATCAATCTGGGGGGATTTGCAGCCTCTTTCCATCCCATAATCAAATTATATGGCAGCGCGATTTATAGCCGTTGGATTACTTGGATTAACCCTCATAAATTTTGGGGAATATACCTTGCAGACTCTTCCAATTAAGATGGTGAAGATGAAAGTAAATGAGCTCCTAACCACGAGTGTGCGTGAACAGCCCAGGCTGAGGGCCAGCAGAAAGCTTCTCCCAATGGGAGAACTGATCCAGAATCATCTGTCATAACCATAAATTTCCCCTATAAATTCAAAGGTACAGTAAGTAGAAGCCGGGTTATGACTCAAGAGGAGTGCCTGTTGTGAGATATTTTATGAACCTTACCCGAAAACCCAGCTCCTCTGAGGCTTGCAGAAACACTGCGTTCCTCTGGTGCCTCCTCCGCAGCTCCTCCCACAGGACTTCCAGCTGGCCGAGGAACTCCTCTATCTTGGCGCTGCCCGCGTGCTGAGCGCGGACCAGCCCGTGGCCCTCCTGTTGATGGAGCGTTAGGCCGATGAGAGCATGTGATGACTAAGGACTGGGATTCACATTGCAAAATATCAACCTAAACTGAAGCTTGGGGCAACCAAAGATGAAATGTCAGCTCGTTATTTGATTAATACACAAACCAGGGCTGTCGAGGTGCCCAGTTGGCAAAGTGTGGGGGATATTTTCATTCAAGGCATTCATCCAGTGCTTATGTTTGAAGACAAACTGTGAATACGACAGTGTGCCTTGGCTTACCCGCTTGACCACCTCTATCCTGGCCCTGTTGGTGAGAATTTCTTGCTCCAGAGCGTGTTGACACCTCCTGGCTGCCTCTAGCCCCTCGAAGCTGGCTATTGAACACACCTGTGTGGCCATGGACACATTGTCTTTCAGCCAGGACAACGTCTGAGATGGAAAGGGGACCGAACAGGGGAAGAGACAAACAGATTAAAAGAGGAATTTGAATAATGGAAGAACAGGAGAGAGAGGGCATTTAGATGCCACAGGAAGCACAGTGACCACGATCCAAGGAATGTTCCTCACACAGTGGCACACCGGTCAGTGCACAGTCACAGCTGAAATGCATGACAGCTTTGTCTCATTTAAAACATGTGACATAATGTCTGTGGCCGGTTACAAGACAAGGGTGTTATAGCTGACGAGCACAACCGCAGCGCTGACAGTCCATAGCAATAAATACTGAGGGTGAGGTCACACGATTTTATTTAAGATGAACCATTTTTGTTTGAACAAAGCATGGAGACGGTGTTGAAAGGGGACTTCTGGCGTGAAAGAGGTTGGCTCACCTTGTTGGCAGACACAGTGAACTTCTGGAGCTGTGTGTGAAGCTGTGGGTGGCCTCGCGGGGCGGCGGCAAGCTTGGGCTCTGCTCTGGGCTTCCTGCTGCTGCAAAGAAAACACAGACATGTGACTCCAATTATGACTTAAAGACCTCTCATTATGTAAGTGGCAGAGAGAGAGAGAGAGAGAGAGAGAGAGAGAGAGAGAGAGAGAGAGAGAGAGAGAGGGGGGAAGTAGAAGCCGGGCCGAAATGTCACCTTTCCCCCTTCAATTGATGTCTGACGATGACATCATTGACACAGGCAGGGCTGTCTCCCGTGGGTGAAGAGGTGTGGTTCGCTGACGGCTGCTCCTGGCTTTGTGTTCTCCTCCCGATCCCCCATTCAACAGTAGTCTGTGGACAAAAGAGTCAAAGTCTCCGTAGGAAAAAAACAGCAACAACAATGTGATTGACGTTCTGTGTTTTGCTTTAGTCAGTCGCCCATCCAATAAATGTTGACTGGATGCATGAACATCTCAAACGGAGGATTGTATACTGGGAGCAGTCACAAGACAATGAGGCGTTACTATAGCTCATCTGCTAATGTGAATGTTACAATGCGGCTGGAGGCCGGACAACGTGGACAGCTGCCCAAAGCAAAGAAAAGCCTCTCCTGTAAATGACACAAAGCATACTCTCTGACAAAAGGTTGTCTCCTCTCCGTGAAATAACCTAAAGATACAAGCTTTGTCTGTTTAACAGCATCACAGTGGGCAATAAAAAAAACACTAAAGATGGCAGTGAAAGTTTAGATATGTTATAATTGCTTCATGAATGAACACATTAGGTCTAACATGGTTGCCAACATGTGCTGTACCACTCTGGTGACTAAAACGAGCCGATGCAGTTGGAAATATGAGCCATTTTTAAAATCCCCTATCCCCAACTGTCATTAAATAGCAGCAGTGTTTTTTTCAGCCTTAGATACAGATTTCCATGGGCTGTTCGTTCTTACTCTGTTTAGAACTATGCAGTGGAGTTTTTAGCGAGGTCAATGCATGCGCTGTAGACCTTGTCTATGTGCAGAAATAAATTAAAGACGTCAACGGCCACTAAGCCCCTTTTTTACGACAATCTGAGTGCTTTAAAGGTTGGCCAAAGGACTCTGCAGCAGGGTTTCCAATGAGAGCTGCATGGATCTGGACCGTTACAGAGAACACAGTGGGACGACGGTTGGTCTAGTTACCGACAACAGTCCACTGCAAACATCTCAAACATTGTGCTGCAACAGGATCCAACAGAAGTTATTCAAAAGTGTATTGTTTTTTGTCTCTTTTCATTACATTTAAAGTATGTGGTTTCTAACTGTGTGTCATTTAAAACTGTAAAGCACCAACCAAGGTTTTAAAAATAACTTTATAAGTAAGGTTTGTTGCTTACCAACACTGGCTGGCCTAAATATGAAACAATGAAATGAACTGTGGATTCAGTAAAACATTCTCTTATGCTGACATTTCTATGCCTAACTATATGAATAATGCAGACCGAGCTGTGTTGATTATTCTATATAACATAATGTATTTTTCATATGCCAGTAAAAACAGTGCTGACACAAGTAAGGCCTCTGCAACAATCAGCAAGGCAAATATGCATCTGTCAATGCTTTCACTTAAAGCATTGAATTTACACACCGGCCAAAAAGCACAAAACAGTCGTTAATAACGGTGTTTTATGGAGTAGCTTTGATTTGACCGATGTTATTTTCTGACTGGGCTTACAGAAGAAGTGAGTCAGAGTGCTGGAGAAAAGTGTCGCCTCCAAAATTATGCGAGAGATGCCGTAATTTAAAGAGGTCTAACATCATTTACTAACATGCCAGTCATTTTATAGGCCGTTCTGAGTTTCACGGAGGCACATTATCGGCACATTTCTGTGCTGAAGCTGCAGTACTAACGAGCGGATTCATTTGGCAGGGCTGATAACCATCAATGACGTCTCTTCCCCAGATATCTGCTTCTGTCCTTCATCCTTCACAGTGGCTTCCACTCTAAACAACTGATGCATGCAACATCTGTATGAAAAATAATGATGTCAGCCACAGCCAAAAAACATTGTCGTTCAATGACTCGCTGTCATTCTCAGTGGTATTCTGTGTTGTTAGACCTCATGCAATCATCTCCTATTTCAGCATTCTTCTCCCTGTCTTGGTGCTGTTGATTCTTATCTGTTCTCTACCGATCTCCCCCCACCCCCCGTGTGTCTTTCTGCAATGTGCTATGAAGTGATGTCAGCCAGGAACTATCACTTAGCACCAATCCCATCTGGTCTGCAGCCCCGGCATCTGGCTATAATTAGTCAGAGAAACAGACAATAGCCATGTTTACCTCCAGCGACTAGAGGCCACACTACTGCTGACATAGACACGGACGTATAGTTTGTAATGCATGTACCCATACGCATGCAGACAATAAAAACCTTTGCCGTTTTAATCTACTGAGTCAAATTGCACCAGAGAAGGAGAGACTGCCAGAAAGAGAAGTGTGTACGTTAGCATGTCTGCAGAAACACTGAAAGTGCTGTCTACCAGCACATTATGCAAATGCCTCAGAGTCACTATCGGCCCACAAACTGGTGCAGCTGCATCTCGTACCTTTAAAAAATTCTGTAGCCAATGCAGCACACCCGTGGGCTGGAGTTAAAGTAAAGTATCTGACAAATTACTTTTACTGTTCAACTTGTGGCCTTTTGGGCTCCGGGGTTTTGTTCGGGGTGTCTTATTAGTCCTTCCATAAAGAGTAACAAGAGGGGCTCTGACAGACGGAGCACCCAGGTGACTCCCAGCTCCCAGTGCAATAAAGGCAACGAGCTCAGCGCCTGCCTGCTGGCGTGATGGTTTCCTTGTCACAGGTGGCGGGGCTGCGGGGCCAGTTAGTTAGAGCCTAAAAACATGAGCAGGGAAATAAACGGAACCAGAACCACAAGGAGAATGGAAAGAGTGAAGTCTTCTCTCATCCGAGCATCTGGGCGCTTTTTCACTGGGCAAAACGAGGCCGGAGGCTCAGCAGGGACTTCACATGAGCTCAGGGTCAATAACGGGAGGGGAGCGTTGCATCATGGGATACCTCTGGGCTGAACACAAATAGCCACTGTATATTCACTTGCGGATTGTAAAGAGATTTAATGTGCTAACTTAAAAGCCTAAATATACACATAATTACTGGTTTTTAACATACCCCACACTTAGGTTTCTGGATAGACTTCTAAAGGACGCCAACAGTATTTCCTCGTAGGTTTATGAGCAGTGGGGTTACTATAGGAGCGCCCACATATTCAATAAAGTGCTGGTAGGCCTCCAAGATGAGGAATGTCGTGTCTGAGGAATCCACATGCTCTGCAGATTATCCGCTCACCCCAGACTGACCCACAGGCCATCTATTAATATAGTATTAATCCAATGACTGTGTACTTTTGTTAGCGGTTGAAAGCCATGCAAGATACTATTCTACCGTGAAGTCTTGGGTCGGAGGGGAAGGCTTATTTGATCTGGCCCAGCGTTCAGCTATGTTGTACAGTCACGGCCTGACATTTTTCATAGAAATTTGTGGAATTCTTGTGCCAGGGTAAATAACTCCTCCAAAAGCTCTTCCTGTGACTCCTAAAGGCCAAGATTCAGAACATTTACCGACTGGTCATGAGATAGAGAGACTGGTAGGAAATGTTACATATTGCTCTGTTCTCTACAGCACTGGTGTTTGGGTTTTAGACTCACGCTGATGTTCATCCCAAACGGGCTTCCTCACAACTCGTACCTCAGATGATGTTATTAAGTGCAACTAACTAGCTGGTAGGATGGAAAACCAGCAGGTTGTTGGGTGCCAAGACTGGAAGCCACTGCTCTACAGCACATCTGACAGACCATAAAAACACTGTTATTTAGGAAAAGAATCCTGCTTAAATAGTAAATCATCTATTTTCCAACCCAAAGGACAAAGTGCGTCACTTTCTGCAGCCACAGATGTCATGGGACTCGAAGGGGCTGATGGCGCTGTTCTCTCCAGAGCCACAGTGTGGTTTCTCCTGTAATAGAACGAAATACCGAAAGCTACTTACCACGCAGCCTTTCAGACGATTCTGCTCCTCCTTCACCTCCTTTCCCATGATCCTTTGCATCTCCGTTCCCACGCTGCACTGGGGTTCTCGGGCTGGTGTCAGGGGGTCGGCATCTTCCCTGGTGAAAGCGGAGCCAGTGGGAGGGAGTGCGGTCCTGTCAGTCCTGCTGGAGGAGCAGAGCGGGAGGTTACTGTGGTTACTGACAGCAGAGCTCCAATTATGGCTCTGAAGTTTTCCACCAGTGTTTGTGTTATTTGGTTTGAATAGCTATGAAACGCAGCTGATAAGACAGACGAGATGATGTAATGTTTGGATCTAAAGATAGCCCGCTGACATGAGAGGCTCTCAGCCAGAGAAATGTTTTGGAAAGCAGGAGATGTGGGAGATGGATGTCAGAACTGTGGTCTTGAGTTACTCCTGACCGTATTCATCGTCATACAAATGGAAAGTGTTTCATCTTCTCTGTCCAGGTATTGTATAAGGATTGCATTGTTATCCATTGGCCAGTCCAACACCTTAATCCAGGAGAACAGGAAAAGATGAAAACTATTGGACGGACTGAAATGAAATTTGGCATGAATACTCATGGTCCCCGGAGGATATATCCCAATCATTTCAACAATAAACTTAATTTATACAGCACTTTACAGAACAAAGTGTTGAAATTTGATGACCTTTTAAATTTTGGACATTATTCCAAAGAATGCCACGTTTCACTATGCATGCAGCAAGGCCGCAACAAATGTGAATAAGTCAGTATGGACCGCAGTGCATAAATCAGTATATAAATACGTGTATAAATACTTGTAGCTCGGTTCCCATTTTACCACAGCATTTATATGTGTACTCATTAAGTAGATATCGGTTCTGATGGTCTAAAAAGAGTCTAATGATGTAAAAATCTGGACTCTTACTGAAGGCTATTAAAGCAACGATACATGTATTTTACAAATGCAATAAAAATAACAAAATATTCTTGTAAACGTGTTATATCTCAGATCCAGCAGACTATTCACGGCATTGACGGCACAATTTTAATAGTGAGAAAGAGAACAGACGGCTTTGCCAACTTGAATCAGTATCAAGACATTATTCACCTAGCACAGTAATCAAACACATGGTCAAATTCCAAAGCAGCGCAGAAAACTCAACATTACAAACTAAAGCAGTGGGTGGTGAGTGATGCTCTGCGTGGTGGTTGGTCTCCAGACATCCAGACAGACCGGTCCTTGACTTTGATTATAATTTTTCACTGATTCAAACCCAAATTCAACAAGGCTAATCAAGAGCGAGGGAGAAAACCTTTATACAAATGTCAAATGGAAAAGGCTTTTTATGTAGGGTACCAGAAGAGTAATAACAGAAAATTACAGTTCCAGCTCAGTGGAAACCTGTGGAGGACCAATTACCGGGTGAAATGGTTGTCGGCGGTGTGCTTGGCCTGCTGTCTCACCTGAAAACCTTCTGAAGAAGCGCCCAGCAGTCCTTCACCTCGCTCTGTTTCTGTGCGACGCCGGCAGCCAGGGCAGGATGGAGATTAGACACCTGGGACACGCTCACATCTAGCATCTACCACACACAGGCCTGTAGGTTAGGTAGAGAAGGCTTCTGCAACCCACCGTCAACATCTGATAATGCAGTGCTGCTTTAAATGTAAAATAAATAAAAAGATTCCCACCATGATTTGACTGGCGATGTCGCGTATTTCTCTATCTCCAAAGCTGTCCAGCTCTTTGGACGCAGATATGCTTTTCCACTGAAAGAGATGGTATGTGTCAGTAAATGTGAGCGAAACGTGAACCTCAGATCTAATTAGAAGAAGAAAAGAAAAACACATTAAGCTGCCGGGGAATTGTACCATGTTATTAATAGCAAACACGGTATTATCGGCCTGTTGGTAGAAAGAGGACACCTCCAGTGCCAGCTGAAGATTTTCATGGTGGTTTTTCAGATGAGACTGGACCTTCAGCCACCTACGTGGAGAAGACGACACACAAATCAGTCTTCTCTCTAGACGCAAGATGTTTCATTCAGCACACCAGTTCAACTTGAGGGACATTTGAGGTGTACATTTTGTTGATGTGTTTCCTCTTGCTGGAGATGTTTTTGACATCTGTCTTCCCTTGTTTCTCCAGCTTTAAAGCCAAGTGGTTGATCTCCTCGTGGAGGTTTCTGTATAGCTGCTCGTCCTGCAGGGAAACAGGGGAACACAATCCAACTATGACCTCAGCTGTCTTTGCCATACACCGTGGGAGACAAATAATATAGTCAGCCATGGATAAATGACTGGGAAACCTCTGCAGAATTGGATTATAAACTATTAACATATGGAAATGTGGATATTTTTTACTTCAAGAATGTTGTATAAAGGTTTTTCTTCTTTTTTTAAAAATCAATGTTCTGTTAATTATTAATGGCTCTCTTTAGCTTGTTCCATTACGACACTCACCTGCTTCAAATCTAAAATTCTCCTGGTCAGCTGCATTTTGTCAACATTTCCCCCCAGGACGTTCACCAGAGACTGCTCCTCTTCCTGCTGGCACACATAAAAGTCAGTGTTTATAGCCCCCATTAGTTCTTTTCAGAGGCACCAGGATTAAACCACATCAGCCCTGCTACCAAGATGCAGAGCAGAAACAGCCTTCAGCATTAGGTGAGGACTTGATACTAATACACAGAGAAAAGGATGAGTGGAACTAAATGGAGAATGCAGTCTCCTCTGGGGATGGATGTTTTATAGACTTCATAAGCAACATCCTCCATTGCATTCCCACCACTCCATTATCAATCATTAGTTCCCCTGAGCCAGACATGAACAGAAAGATAAACACAGACCTAAAATGCAGATTGCTTTTTGATAATGACGGGCAGATGTTTTACACCGGTGAATATACACAAACAAGACGCGTCTTCAGGATACTGAGCTAATTTCCTGTATTAGCAAATGCAGTTCTTTTGCACCAATTATCTTAGACGACTGTTGATCAGAGCTGCGTGTCCAGTCGTATCTGCCTCTGGGCCAACTGTTTTGGGTTTTAGCTGTTACAGTCGGAGAGCTTCATTGCGTTTGTGTTTAGATAAATGGGGAAAGGAGGGGAAGAGATTTGAGGAGGTGGTCAAAATTAGAATCAGAATCAGAATTATGAAAAAGGGTGAAATGTCAATTGAAGGGGCATACAAATACAAATAATAAGTATTCATTTCACAATAGTGAATCAGTACAAAATGCAAGCAACATGCAGTTTGCAATAAATCAAAATCTCGAACTGCTCAAATTTATGAAAAACAACCAATATCATTGAAAAATGCTTCTCGTCAATACTTCACAAAGTTGAACTATGACTCTGAAGAAATGATTCATTGCATTTAAATCCACTTCTACACAACAGAAAAAGACAGGAATGTTTTTCTTTACCTTCTCTTTAATCCACGCCTCCAGCTTGTCCACCTTTTTGTTGAACTCCTGCAGGTTCTTGGCTCCACCCAGGGCCCTCGTCTGGTTTGCAGCCGTCTGTTTCAGGGTCTGCCACTGGTCCCTGAGCTGGCTGAGCTGCTTCTTCACCAGATCAGACGTGGGGTTCAGCTTGCAGATCAACTGCTCACCCATCTTGTGAGACAGAAAGTCGATGCTCATTTTAGGTGTAGCTCAGACGGAGCCGCCAGACTAAGTGAAGCGGCCGAGTGCATTTGAAACCTCAAGTTCGTCATTGCTTATGTGCCAGCAGGCTTTACAGATGTTGGAAAACTGCCATTTATTTCTTGGATATACCCTTGAAAAAGTCTCCCGGTTCTGGGTGGAGGTTAATTATCGGCAATGTACCATTTCCAAACATTTTCTCCTGAGCGAGAAAGTATAAACTGGCTTGACAGAGACGTCTGGAACACTGAAAGTCTGCTTTTCTCTCTGGTCTACTGGAAATACCTACGAGGCCATTATGTTAGGTTTGCATTCAGATCTCCATTACCTGTCAAAAAAGTTTAAATAAACATTTCAGTTTGAGTGTTCGTTGCTGTGAAGTGCTCGCTCTGGCAATTTGGTAATATTTCAGTTCGAGTCCGTCCCCGTGTCGATTCTTTTCCTCACCTGGTTGAGTTGAATTAGGGTGTTCTCAAAGTCTTTGAGGTCTCTTTGAAGCGTCTGCGAGGCTTCCTCCCAGTCCTGCAGGGGGCAGCGCTGAATGTTACATCCATCCTTCAAATCCTGCAGCTTGCCTTTGATCCACGCCTCTGCCTTCATCACAAACAGACACAAATGTTTAGGATCTGCTCCACGCTGTGCACGTCATAGTCAACCAGTTACGTCTGTTAATAGACCTGATTCAGCTGTTCGATGATATTGCGCTTTTATTTTAAAGGTAAATGGGATAATTTATCACCTTTAGAGATTATATAGATACTATAGTTAAGTAACATGGCAGAGGATGGCTTCTTTCTTGCATGTATAAATGTTATATTTGTGGATATATTTGTATGGATCAATATTACTCATGGAAACATGTACAAAATTATTCCTTTTGCAGCATTTTCTATGAAATTCATATCTAGAGCTTTCACAACTGAGGCTCATCTGCAGCCCGCTGGTTGTGAGACGTGGACTGTGTACCAGGATGCTCGACAAAGCGGTCGTCACCGTGGTAAACACAGTCATATTTCTGCTCATGAGGGGAGCAAACAGGCCACATTTTCTTCCCTGACTCAGAGTAACACGCAGCTTCAGACACATCAAGAGCAGCCATGTTATGAAGAGCAGAAGTTTCTCTTGGCGAGGGCCATGGGCTCCGTCGCATAAGGCTTTGTCTTGCAGAGCTGCCTTTTCTGGCAACATCTGTCGGGAGTGAGAAACTGCGAGCCAGGTGGCCAAAGTCAGAAAGTGTTGGAAAGTACAACATGTTTGTTTTCTGCAAAGAACTCAGTGTGGAAGTGAGTGACCCACCCAAGTGAAGTCACAATAATTGAACGGATTAATAAATCAACTCCGGTTCTTCCGCTTCTCAGACGGATCCCAAGCGAGTCACACAATTGATGCTTTATTTTCCACAGTGTTGCTATTGTGTAGAATGTCAACTAACAGTTAAGCACACAAGTGAGTTGTTATTTCCCAAGGAATTTAGCGCGACTGACGATGAATAATACACCCTCTAGAGAGTAAGCCTTTTTGGATCAATAAAACATCAAGACCACACATGACACGGCCTTTAAACAACTCCTTGCTCCAGATTAAAATGTGATGTCACTTCTCCTCAGAGAGGCCGGTCATTAACTTTACAAGAACCCCACCCCCGGTGCAGTGGAGGCATTTCTGTGTTGAACAGAAGGAAAAGAGCTTGACAAAGCAGGCCTGCCCTATCTCCTCACACTGGCTCCCATGGCTGTATAATGACCTCATACAGGAAGTCCATGATTCGCTTGTTTTTTTCCTGTCCGCTCTCCACAACAATTGTCTGTTTATCAAAATGTACAGTTAGGCCTCAGTCTGGCCACAAAGAATAGACTACTAATGCAGGCAGTTCAGATTGTGTCACCGCTTCTGATTCTTTTGTGAGAAATCTATGGCCACACAGGGAAACATGGCTGCAGTCAACATGGACCAGGTTTAGAAATAAACTCCATGTTTGTTGATGATAATCTGTAATCAGAAACCAGTCTTTTTCAGTGCTGCTTTTCATGACTACAGGCTTCAAAGGAACCCGATTTTAGCATCTTAACTGGAAAACAAGTGCGCACATCTTTACACTTTATAAGCTGTTTACCAACAAGCCACATTTCTAGCCCCTCTGGTAATGCAACTCGGCCCCCGAAAAGGCTGCGTGAGCGGAGGATTCTCGACTTTCTCTGTCATGAGAAGGAGACGGTGAAAGGCGAGATGTTTTGCAGAGCAGCCTCGGAGACAGATGGCCCTCAGCGGGCGCTGTGCTTCTCCATGTGGTGACCTGCTTTGCTCTCCTAGCTTGAAACACTAGGGGCCTTTAAAAGTCCCTCTCTGGAAAACTCACTTCCACTTCGACAGCGATGTAATACTGAAATCACACATTTTCATCAGCAATAGCGGTAAACCAAATCCCTGTAAAACAAGCAGCTCCCCAGGTACCAAAACCTCTGGTTGTTTAAAGTACTCTCTCAAATACAGTTCAAATACAAAAGGCTGTTTCCTCCAAAAGCAAAATAAATGCAAACTCCACTTAAGAGCAAAGGGGATGCTAAGCTTGTTAACATTAACGACGTGCTACAGGGCCTGTTTTCAACACATACATACATCATATGTTTCCTGGAGCTGACACATCCTAAATTCATTTCTGATTACTGGAAGTCAACAGCCTATCACTGGTTGGTGACGAAGCCAACTGCTGGACAAAATGTCCCTCGGCCGAACTCGCAGAAAAATGTCCTTCTACACTGGGGTGGACGCAGCGATGAGATAACACAGCCAGTTGTGCTGCTTGGCTGAGTCTCTGCGGGCCATAGGCGTGAAGAGATGGAGCCAAACAATGATCTCATCGCGAAATAATTGCTTCACTTGTGGCGGTTTCCCCTCCCTCTCTTCCCTCAGCCGAACACAGCTCACACACAGTTCTCAGGACAAAATAAGAACCAGTACATATTTTGTTCTCCTCGCAGGGCCCTTCCATTCTGATTTCATCTCAGCAGTGCAACTTGTTGCTTTTCAGATACCAGCTACTTTTGATTAGCATTCTTTTTCTGTTACATCAGAGGAGACGAGAGATAAGTTACTCTGGTTTAATTTAAAAGGGTTTAATACATCTCCGCATATTTTGGAAAAGTGGAGTGGAAAAGCGCACCCTCCTCAAAGGGAGCTGTGCAGTTCAAACCAACGCTGCATGCGATAAACCCGCAGGCTGACCATGACAAACTGTTGATGATGACATTGAGTATGCATGCGACATTTTACCTGCAGTGCTTCCTTGTTGAAGAGCGAGTTGCGCTGAGTGAAGCAGTCACTCTGGGACGTAACCGCTGCCGACGCTCCATTCTGTGTGTGCGGATGACTCTCTCTTCTTTGAGGCTCTTTCTGCTGCGATTCAGGCACTGAGATCTGTGTGAGCGCACAACAAAATGACAACAAAGTGTTGAAAACATGATGGCATTTTGACTGTAACAATAATCCAATAAAACCTCAACACCAGATGATGCTTGCCTCTGATAAAACTTCCTGTTTACCATCCAGAGACATTATAAACTTGTCTGACACCCAAGGGCCCTCTTAACAAAGGCCTACTGTCAGCACTACGTGAGATGAAATGAAACACGACTGGCACCAGTCAAGCATTCCCGCAGCTCTCCAATCAGGAAACATCTGGGCACATGAAGGAAGCAGGAATGGGCAGATCCTTGGATGTCTGATGTTTTTTTTTGCTGTCAGCCTTACATGTAAACATATCACCTTGAAAAGGACTTTTGGTAGATCATATCATTCCTGAACAGGTAAAAGCACCACCACCTTCTCTTGTGTAATTATGACAATTTTTCAGGTATTTTGCATGAATAGCACATGAGAAGGAGGAACAGCGAAGTATTGTTGTGGTTACAGAATAAGAGGCGATGTAGGTGAGTGCTGTAGTTTTTTTTTGTCCTGAAAGGGGAAATGAGGCCATTGCTGTGTCAGTGTGTTATTATAAGCAGCCTCCATGAGGACTTCAGCAAGCCTTTTCTTTTGTTAACATCTTCCCTGACCTCATGTTTTCCAGTGAGCCCTGCCTCTGCACGGTCTGCTGTAACAGAGCACTTCATCCACAACACACACTGATGACTTCAATGAGAAACAGGCCAAATCCAACAGCCCATTGACTTTAAACAATATCCTACAATATACGTGCTATTTTTTCCTCCTGTGGACTGTTTCTTTAATACATTGCAGTTATTAAACAAGAGGACACAACAGGCTGTTTGTGTGGCGTTCAAAGACACGCAGCTCTCACAACTTAACTGGTTTTCCACCTCTGTGTGACTTCGCTCCAAATGTATAACATAATAAACTGGTTAAGTTTGGCGAACAGAGCATATGACTTCACTTCCTAAACTCCAAGAGATCAATTCCACAGCGAGCTAATGTTATAAAGACCGCACTGTCTCACAGAAAAACAAATGCAATCTGAATAAAGTTGGGAAAAATAGCACATATCTAAAAAAAAAATCATTTTTAAAAAAAGTATATACTGTATTTTAGGCTTTATATGACAGTCTTATAGGCTTTTTTCATTAAACTTCTATTTACCGAGATAAAAACACGCAAAGTCATTTTTACTGAAGCTAGCTGTTTGTCATTTTAATTTAGCAGTTAGCTAACGTTAGCATCTTAACGCTACCTGTGGGACGGGTTGCTCTCCATTCAGTTTCCGCCTGGTTTGTCCCTGCGTGGGCTGAAGGTCATCGCTGTTGTCTTTTCTGAGTAAAACCTAAAATATTAATCGGAAAAAATACAAAAAATCAGCAGGTGGTAGTGTGGAAAATAAGTCGTAAATTAATTGAACAAGCTGGACAGGACGACAGAGATAGTGGAAGGCAAAAATAATATTTAGGATTCCTATAGCAAATATATATCGATCACGTTCCGTTGGGGTAAGTTGCATTTGTAAAACAATGTCATAAACCAATATCTCTAAAAAAAAATGATAATTAAATTACCAAACACAGTGTGTTTTTGGTTGTTTTTAAGCACATACACTGCTAAATTGTACTGTATGTTGAAAAAAATATATACAAAATGTCTTTTTAATGCTGAGTTTGAGGTTAATGTCTTTGTTTGAAGTGAAAACTGTTGAAAGTAGAGGATTTATCACAAAGATTATATAATTAATGTTACACATATCTTTGAAGATATGTATCATCTACATATATTTTCTTCTTTATTTAGTAAAATTGCCTTTTCATTATACTGAGAGATTGAAAGAAATCCCACCTGACAATGTATTATTTCCTTGGTTAATATATTTGCATATTTGCATTAGTAAAGTGTGTCTCGTACCTTGAAGTGAGAACTGGGCTTATTCTCACAACTCACTCCCACAATCCTGGGCAGATGTGGATCTGATGTGCTGCTGACATTGTTGTTGTTATTGTTGTTTTCAGATGTGGTCCCTGTGATGGAAAGCTGTGACACCTTGTTCTCAGATGTGTCTTTACTCCCAGAGATCGTGATCTTCTTGATGGACCTGGAGACGGCGGAGGGAGAGGCCACGTTCTGGTTCAGGTCGTCCTCAGCCGCCATGTCCTCCCGCTTGTGCCTCACGGGTGCTACCTGCTTGGCGATGGGCGAGTCGAGACAGGGGCCGTGCGCGCAGACCTGGGACCGACTGAGGTAGAGCGAGTTCAGGTTGTGATGTAGAGTGCAGTTATCCAGACTCTGGCTCTGCAGATAACTCTGTGTGAACTCCTGGCATTTTGGCACTGCCGGGACTGACAGCCTGGTCCCAATGGTGAAGGGCTGGACCTTCCTCACAATGCTTTCAGACATTGCTGGCAGTGTCCAGGTGAGAAAAAACAAAAATATTGTCCAAACGGGAATAAAAAAAAAGAAAGAAAGTCTTGTCACGTCCCTTTGTACACCCTCCACACAAACCAGCTCTGCTTGTCCGGTCTCTGTTCAACAGGCAAGTGGAGGGCTGAGCAGAAAGTGGAGGGAGAGCTCAGTTCTCCACCTTCTTGTGCATGTTGAGAATGCACAGCACACAGCCCAGGACGGCTTCCTTGGACTCCTGGGATCGAATGCGGTCCCAGACGTGTCGCAGCGCCGTGCCAAGGTGAGCAGCGCCTGTAGAGAGGCTTCTCCTGAGGAACCGTGCCACTGAGCTTGCCAGTCTGCTACTGAAGAGCCTGATAACCAGGGACCGCAGCAAGATGAAAACTGGCATGCTGCCTGACTGTGCTTCGAGAAGAGAAAATTGAAAAAAAAGGAAACTGAAAAAAAAGGAGGGGGAAAGAGGAGGGTTGGTTAACAGACGGGATGAAGTCACCACTCTCTCTCTCTCTCTTTCTCTCTCTCTCTCTCTCTCTCTCTCTCTCTCTCTGTCGGCAGCGACAGAGCGGAGAGGGGGCTGTAAAGCCTGGCTGTCAAAACTTCCCCTCTGAACCCGAACAGAAAATCTGTCCAGATAAGAGGCGAGTAATGGAGTCAGAGGGAGAGACCTCTGTCGGACCTCTTCAATCACAGCTTACCCTCTATGAGGTAATATCCTCAGCTGAAACAAGCTCACACACACACACACACACACACACACACACACACACACACACACGCCACCTCTACCTTACCTCCACTTTGAAGTGCAGAGGAACAGATTCAGCCCTGAGGTGTTCTGCTCTACAAGACAAAAAAAATAAAGTCTTTCACAGGCAGTAGGCTTGTACAAAAAAATCCAGTTTGAAATCTGAGGAGAGAGTAAGCTTCAGAGGCTCATGTGAGCGCTGTCGGTCCGGGAGTGAGAGTGCTTTCCTCAGCTCTGAGCCTCTCCACATCAGTGAGGAGCAGTTGTCACTCAGGTTCCAGCTGAATGGGACAGCCCTGATGCTCCTTAAACCACATAGCTGCTGGCATGACAAGTGTGTGTGTGTGTGTGTGTGTGTGTGTGTGTGTGTGTGTGTGTGTGTG